CGGGTGTGAGCGGCTGAGATGATAAAAAAAAGTTGGTTTTGTTATCAGACTTCGTTTTCACTGGTTTCCTACACATTTTACAGATGACTGTGGTTTGTTTTTGGTCCGACTTGCCATGACCGAAATACTGCCAGACTGCCGAACTACAAAAACCCTTCTTTGAAACAATTTCCTCCGCCTCTCCTTGCTGCGACATCTTCATGTGCTCTATGTTGACAGGACAGAATTTTTTTTGCAATAAGACATTTCTTTAAAAGTGTTTAAACGACAGAAGGAAAAATTGGTCAATCAAATTGTCAAAAGAACATTACCATCTTTAAAAAATGTAAAGAATATCCAAAAAGGAGTGGTTGTGTTCTAGGCGAGACAATAGTCTGTAAAATTAAGTTTCAGAGCTGCCTAACCAAGTCTCAAATTAAAACGAACAGTAAATACTTTCAGCTTTTTTAATTGTCATTGCACTTTCACAAGTACAGAGCAACCGAATTAACTCTCTGCATGTAACCCATCCCCTTGAGGAGCAGTGGGCTGCCACTGTGTGGCACCCAGGGAGCAGTGTGAGGGTTAACGGTCTTGCTCAAGGAGCCAGAGTGGCAGTCCGTGGGAGTGGGGCTTGAGCTCAGAACCCTTGGACTCCTAACCTGACTCCGCCAGATGGATTTGCTCCGCATATCCATCTGGAAACCTTCCGTTGCAGTAATTTTGGGGAAGGGGCGAAAATACTGGTTAGCTGATTGGCCTATGTTGGTGATAGACGGGCCAAATAAACCAATCAGATCAACGAAGCATATGACGTACTAACAGAGCGACGACGAAAACACAACCACAAGCCAGGCTACTCTTGCCGAAACCAGTCGGGAGAAGAGCAAAAACATGTTTTCCTCTGAAAAAAGCATCCAGTGCAGTGTTTTGCTCTTCTTTCATTGAAGAAATACTCTTGCTCGATAGCCACGCTAACGCTAGTTTCATCGGCTGAAGCTGCCATGTTCTTTAGACTGAACTGTCGCGCTTCTCGTTGCGTCACACCTCAACCCGCCTCAAAGCCAACGCTGATTGGACGTTCGTTTGGTGAACGGCTCCAAATTTTCTTTAACGGAGAGTCTCCAGACTGATCTGCGAGTGAAACCTTGAAAACTCGCGAGATCAGGATGGTCTCACGAAGCTATTGGACTCCAAGCACAATGCCCTAACCACTGGGCCACCAGTCCCCTTGATTATACATGAGTTTTGCTGTAAATAACAAGTCTTTACCATCTACTAGACACGGAGATCTTCTATAAGTTAACCTGGGTATTTATTTAGAAGTCAAATTTGTTATTGGGTTTTCATTAAAGAAACAGCGGAAATTTTGAAAATGAAGCTAAAGAATGTGCATGTGTAGGTCACATTATGATCAGTTTGGACAGCAATAGATACATCATTAAATTACCTCTAAAGGACATTTTAAAAGTCTCTTTCAGCTGAAATTTTCAAGAGTCAGAGACAGTTTTCACAGATCACTTAAAGCTGAGTCTTTGACACCTTCTTACTGCTACATTATGTTTTTTTCTCTAAAAGATTAAATTCAATCTATTACTGTTTTATGTCTTTGACCCTCTAAGGAGGCAATTCATATCTGCATAACCACCAACCTATATCAAGATTAGCCACTATTGCAGCTTCTATAGGTGTCAGTACACCAATATGTTTTTCAGTTTTACAAGCTTGACAGTAGATTTAAGTTAGAATTGCAGTGGGACCACTGTGGCTGATTATTGGTTCACATTTGAGTAGTAAAACAAACCCAATAAGGGCCAACATATCAGGGATTTTTAGTTTACGTCCCCTTCTGTTTCATAATGCCAGCTGCATTTTTTAAAATTGTGGGTTTGAACGGGCCAGCTTCATCTCAGATCCATGAAAAGCCACGAACAACCTGCAGAGAAGCTTGTTTTTGCAGCATTATAACAGAACATTTTTCTAAAAGAGGCTGCTGTAGCTGTGCTTTCTGCCGGTGCATGACAGTTGGAAGTATAACCACTCTCTCCAAACGGTGGCATATGCCAGAAAATAACCGCTAATATTCTAGAAAGACAAACAAAGTACAGATGTGAAAATCAAGCTAAAAGAAAACTTTGACTAAAGACTAGAATTAAGACATCTCTCCTCAACTAAGTAATTTGTCAAAAAGTACATGGTTGGAAATCTGAGCACCAAGTGTTCCCAATTACCAACCACTCATTTCATCGGTTTTCCCTTTTACAGAAAGTGTTCCACGTCAAAGTTCTCTTAATTTTTTTTATTTATTTAAGCCCTAAGCATTATGTAAACTGCCTCATTGTGCATTGCCCTCGGTCCAAACAGAAAATAAGTCAGTAGGGCTACATGAATGTAGATAATAAAGACCTTTCACTACTAAACACCCGGTCCAAACCTCGCTGACATCCACTGCTTTTCCCATCATGCTCTGCCACAAACAGCCATTTACCCCACAAAGAAGAATTCAGCTCCTGCGTCATTAAACCATCTCAGCCTGACAGGATTTGATTTTGTTACTATTTGTAGATCCCCCCAATATTTTAGGGATTTAATGGTGAAAGACCCCTGAGCCAATAGACAAGAACCACAGCATTGTGTCTGTATGCGATTTTTTTTTTTTCTTTTTTTTTTACACCAAATGCTTCCAAATCATGGATTGACAGATAAAATGTTATGGTGGAATCCCATTTATTGCTTCCATCTGTTTTTGTCTTTTTTCTGGAGGAAGAGAATTTAAGGAGCAGGAATGACCAACGTTCTGTGGCATGCCCATAGTCCTTTCCAGCTCTTTGCTTGGAATCATTAAGTGTGGTAGATTGCTGTATATGGGGCTGGCAGACAGTGCTTGAGCTGACTCTTGACTTTATGGCTTTTACATACTGGATGGATCCCTGCTAAGATCCGTGGCGGCAGATAACCCTGGCTTTAATTATCTAAAATATGTGCACACACTTGTATCTGTTTGCTCACTCTCACATTCCTCCAGCTTTTTTCGTTTTTTGGGGGGCGAATTTTAATGGGGTAAAAGCAGCTTCCGCAAATGGGACTTTGCATAAACATCCATCCTTAAATTTTTCAAGATTCTAGAAAAAAAAAAAAAAATGTCTTTTCGACTGGGATTGTATGCGATCAACTAGAATAATGTTACACATTAATATGAGCTAGAAGCGAAATGATTCATGATTTAATATTTACATTCATAACTAAAGATGTGCCTTGTAAATTTTTCCAGCCTCACTTAGTTTAGAAAAAAAACTTGCAAGTATATGGGAGCTTTCCTACGGAAGAGGATTAGGGCCACTGAAAAAAAAAAAAGTTAACTGATTTTTTAATTTTTTTCAGTTTAGTATGGGAAAAAAGTCAGAATTCTGACTTTAATCTCAGAATTCTGACTTTTTTCTCAGAATTCTGACTTTTTTCTCAGAATTCTGACTTTAATCTCAGAATTCTGACTTTTTTCTCATACTAAACTGAAAAAAAAATAAAAAATCAGTTAACTTTTTTTTTGTTTTTTTTCAGTGGCCCTAATCCTCTTCCGTACTTTCCACATGGAGACATAGTTGACATTTTCACAGCCATTTTTAGAGCACTCTTTTTGTGCAAACTTGCACAAGCTCCAAATACGTACACTGCCGTTAAAATCAACATACGTTTTCCATTCCTCTTTTAGATTCATATTTAGGTTTGTGATTTTGTTTAGTTCAAAACAATTTTAGAGTGTGAAACTCACTGAAGTCTAAAATGGTTTCTTCCAAGTGTAACGTTGTATTAATCACCAATTACTGTTGTGTTTTCATGGTGGGGATGTTGTGTGCAGAATGGCGTTAGACTTTCCATGTGGTTTAAAACATTTTGTGTTATTTTAGTCTGATTAGATCCCTTTGCTTTCTTCACATACGTGATGTTATCCTACATCTATCCTATCCTACAAGGCATGTGGCGCAATTCAAGCGATAGTCTAGGAGAAACGAATCCTGCAAGATCAATGACTTAATGCAAAGAGCTGTTTTTCCTAATAAAAAAAACTTTTAAACAGTCTGACTGTATGATCCGACTGAAATGTGTTAGAAGACGTTGCAAATTGGTATATAAATACAAACTGTTTTGAACTGCAGTAAATTTAACTGAATTGATTTGAGCTAAATGACAAAATCTAAACAAGTTGTGTTTTAAAGGCTCTATTCTTTCTTATATTATTTAAAGTTGTTGTTCCACTGATGATAGACCGCATCATTTACATGTCCAGAAGCAGGCCTTCCCTTCTACATAAACAGATGTGAGGAGAACCTAAAGCAGTCTACAGACTCATTCTTTCCCTGCAGCTTTGGTGATCCTTGTGATAGGTTTTAACGTGGGGAATATTTGAGATAAACAAGCCTTGAGCTCAGATGAATGCTTCTTTATCCACATATGCATAAATCAAATAAATACGGAAATGAATAGCTATAGACTGCTTCTCCCCTCTGACTGGACTGCCTGTGGCTTTCTCCATGTGAAAGAGTATTAGCCATCCAGTGATGTACTGCAGTCATCACTGCATATTTTAAATGCAGTGTTTTATATTCACTCTGTATCCCTCTCTCTCTCTCTCCTTCTTGCTGATTTTGATAATGTAATTCCTTTTTTCTTTTTTTTTCCGTCTCGCACTCACTTTCATCCAACAGCCTCTTGTCTCTCATCTCAGGAAATTAAGCTGTCATCCTCTGTCTTTTTCATTAATGTGGGTATCATTTCATTGTTGTTTATTAAATTCCTGGTGGAAGTTGATGAGACTGTGGCCAGAGGTGATTTTCTGAAATGCTCTATGTTTTTACCTTCCCCTGCTTGCTTGTGTTTTATTAATACGGACTGTGCATTCAAAGCCTCTCGTTCAGGTTGTTCCTGTCTTTGAACAAACAAAGGGTGTTGCATTTTACCTGTGTCTTTGTTGGATGGTAAAACAAGCTTTAGAAATATATTTTTTATGTTCATCTCCTCTGCAGGTGGACCTTGGCTTTTTGCGGTTTGTCTCTGCCATTGGTACACAGGGTGCTATTTCCCAGGAGACCCACAAAATATACTTTGTCAAGTCCTACAAAGTAGACGTCAGCTCAAATGGAGAGGACTGGATCACCTTGAAAGAAGGCTCCAAACAGAAGGTACCCCATGCATATTTTCAAACTTTCTTTAAGATCCTTAATATTATGATGGAACCAGATATGGAGAACAATTATTCAAATTTTGTTCACTGCAAAAACGATCCAGAAATCAGTAAAAATTTCTTAAATTAAGTGTATTCATCCTTAATTTCAGCAGGTAAATGAGATAGTTTGCCAATGGAATTAGTGTTTTTACTCTTAAAATAAGATAATTAGATAATATGCACTTGAAATAAGACAATGCAATTGTGTTTTCTTATTTTAAATGTAAATTTTCTTGTTCCATTGGCAAAATGTCTCTTTTACCTCCTCAATTCAAGAACAAATGCACTTATTTTAAGAAAAAAAAATGACTTACCGGTATCTAGATTGAGATTTTTTGCAGTGTTGTCCTACTTCATATCAATTACTTCTGTAAAGCTATACGTATTATACGTGATACCAGAAGATATCCTTCTTAGAGATTTCAGTTTTTTTTTTTTTTTACTGTAAGCAGGTTATTGATTATTTATATTATAACCAAAGAGACTTTGAGAATTTGTTAAAATTCATTATCAACTAATTTGATAAGAATTGTCATTTTAACCAGGCTTTAGTATGCCTAATATTTTCAATTATTACCATTGTTTGTTTCTCTAGCAACGATTATTAGCAAAGAACGAGATCGTGGATACAAGCGGCCGAAATGGGTTTCCTCCGTAGGGTGGCTGGGCTCTCCCTTAGAGATAGGGTGAGAAGCTCGGTCATCCAGGAGGGACTCGGAGTAGAGCCGCTGCTCCTCCACGTCAAGAGGAGCCAGTTGAGGTGACTCGGCCATCTGGTTAGGATGCCTCCTGGACGCCTCCCAGGTGAGGTGTTCCGGGCACGTCCCACCGGGAGGAGGCCCCGGGGAAGACCCAGGACACGCTGGAGAGCTTGCCTGGGAACGCCTTGGGGTTCCTCCTGAGGGGCTAGAAGAAGTGGCTGAGGAGAGGGAAGTCTGGGCGTCCCTTCTTAGGCTGCTGCCCCCGCAACCCGACCCCGGATAAGCGGAGGAAGATGGATGGATGGATGGATGGATGGATGGATGGATGGATGGATGGATGGATGGATGGATGGATGGATGGATGGATGGATGGATGGATGGATGTTTCTCTAGCATTAGAAAAAAACATATTTCTCTTTGTGTACCTTCTTAAGAATCTTTATTTTGAGTTTTAAAGTTTCCATATACTTGCCAATATTCACAAAATCCAGTACGTAAACGTTTTTTTTTTAAAGGGGTCAACTTTAATGTACTGTGTTAGCCTTCCTGTTATCTCCTGAAAGTCTCACCCTCACAGTTTAATTAACACATAGACATTTCTTGAAATATTGTATTAGATACACTTTTATGTTCCTTTGACTTGGTTTCAAACGCTTCAATAAATGAATATCAAATTCTTCACTAATTAACCATGAGAAGTCATTGTTGTCTTTGTGAGCTTGTGGCAGATAGTGTGATATAATCTGACAAAGTTTCCAGTTAAACACATCAACACACACTTGGCCAATCAAACTCAAATTAATCCTGGTCACTAGTAGTCAAGTTCTTGTTCCTTAACTAAGAAGCATTTGATTGTTTTAAAGTATGAAGCTATTTCAGCTCTTAGCCTCACATGGGTTTTTGTTTACATTTTTGTACTCTAACTTTTATTTTAGTTTCTAAGAGATTGATTTAGGCAAATTATTTAAAATGACCGAAATAAATTGAACTGAAAACAGGTAGAGAAGTTGAATAGCATGGAGGCTGAGATTGCCAGGTCTGATGAGCTGATAGAGGTGGATCCCAAATTAAAGGGGAGAAAAAGATGTTTGACTGACTGGGACCGACTCTAAACAGTGAATCAAATTGTCAAATGACCCGACTTTGTCCATCTGGAAGCGAAGGCGTCCCTTCAGGGAGGCTGACAAACATTTATCTGCCGCACAGTCCCCTCATTTCGTGATATTTAAAACCTATAAGACGCTCTTGAAAGAAGAAATGTGGAGTTCAGAATGCTTCCCAGACCATCCAAACAATTGTTGCTACATACTTGTGCCCCCAAGCTTGATTCTTTCATAGTCTCTCTGGAGTACACTGTTCCTTTTGTAAAGTGGCAGCTTAAAGGTGCCGCCTAAAGCCCTGCATGTTTTTTTTCCTGGCCTCTAAAGTGCTTTTGTGTGGAAGGGCACCATTTACTACATGCTGAGCCTGCAGTTTGGCATCTTAGCACAGCTCAGGAAAAAGCCACTTTACAGTTAGTGTGTGAGAGGAGACTCTGCATGGCATTTAAGGAAGTGGCTGACTTTTTAGAAGGGTCCCTCAGTGATGTGGATGAAGGTCTTGGTAGTACTGCTGTGTGGTCTAATGGATCAGTTGGTGTTTCAGTTCATCCTAGATAAGCTTAACTGCTATCTTTCCATCTGCCTGACTTTTCTCAGCTGGAATCCTTTCCGCCTCGTAACTTCTCGGTCAGGGAGGTCAGGAGGCCGTGTGGTTGCCTTTGAGATTCAATTACTCAGAATGAACTGTGACGGACTGTGGGCAGTTGTTGGGCTGGGTGGCAGGCCTCCTCATAGTGCTAGTAAACTGTCATCGGACCTCAGGGGAGAACATTGACATCTCTGACCTTTCAGCACGACAATGCAGTAAAACTAAGACCCAATCTGGATACAGAGAATGGTAAAAGGGCACCATAAGTCAGTCGGTTCTGATCGCTGTTTCACTTCCAGCCTCAGGTTTCACAGCCTTTCATTGCTTCAGCTGCATCAAATGAAGCAAAGGCAGCTCCTGTCTGATTACATATGAGTAACTTTCCACACTCAGTCGAGAAAATATTCATCTATTTCCCCGAATATACTGGTTTACATTAAACATCTGGAACATTCTCTGGATTTTCAACAATTCTTTTAGATTTCTTTTTATCTAAAAATAGCTTCTCTGGATTTCTGTCAATAATCAGAATGTCTCCCTCCTTCTTTTACAGATTTTCCAAGGCAACACCAACCCAACAGACGTTGCCAAGACAAAGCTGCCTAAACCTACGCTGGCGCGCTTCGTTCGCGTCCGTCCAGTGACCTGGGAAACAGGCATTGCTCTGCGCTTCGAGGTGTACGGCTGCAAGATATCAGGTAGGGTACCTCTGCAATTCTAGTTGATCCTAATCTATATTGCCTGTGGATTAACTCTTTTTTCCTACCTCATTGTTTCCTCTTCAAATGCAAAACTTTTTTTAGCCCCCATTACAACAGAATCGAAGCCGCATCAGCATAATGCTGAACAAAGGCAATGAAATAAGGGATTATCTATTAACACAACCTCATACTTAGATGAATCTCATGCAGTATAAATAGAATAAGCAGCTGGCTTGAATCACCTAATGGTGCTGGGTGGGCTCTTCCCGATTTGCTCTCAGCCTGTTCTTCATTTTTTCTTTGCTTATATAACTTTAATTTTAGCAACAACTTTCTTCCCCTTGTCCTTTTGTTGATGTGTCAAATTAGCGTATGCATGTTGGTGGCTCTATTTAGTGTGGTTTTATCACATCTATCTTTGTCTCTGTGGGATATGAACATGTGTATTCAATTTAAATTCCTGCTTTAGTAGATTAAAGACAGAAGAGACATTGCCTTTGCTCTGTCGGCATCTTGAATAAACATGGGCCAGAATAAGATTGAAAATGTAATTGCATCTGTAACATTCAGTCATTTGGATTTTTAAATGTAAGTAGCAACATTCTGCACATTTCTCCTCTAAAATTCCTTTAAGTAAGGAGACAAAATCAATCTTTCTTTAATGGGAATGATGGTCCATACCCTGGGTAAGATTTTAGACTCGTTTTATTTTTATTTAGTGATATGTTCAAGTAATTTGTGTTCGATTTGTGTGCAAATAATTCATATACAATATTTTAAAACAAATGTCACAGTGCCACCTCTAATCTAGCCCTTAGTCCACTTAAGATATAACAATACATGAAAGCAGGGATCGTTACAAGCATGATTAACATCTCAGATCATTTTAATCTAGCATAAAGTTATTCAAAGAGAGATTTTGAAGGGTTAACAATGATATTATAAAAAGAGAACTCAGAACTTTAACATTTAACCTGATGCATGTCTAACTGAGAAACCATTGTAGTAAAATATTCCAAAAAAAAAAAAATTTAAAAAACAATCCACTGGACTTTATTTCCAAGTTTGAAGACGTTTCGCTTCCCATCCAGGAAGGTTTTTCAATTCAACATGTCAGGAATAGCGTTGAGTTTGGGGTTTTTTACAGTAGCTTGATTTTTATCTGAAAGCATGCTAATTAAAATGGACGAACGGGTCCACGGCTTTAGAATGGGGGTTGTTTGGCTTCTTTTGTTAACCTGCAATGCCCCTTACCCATCTAAGTCTCTGAAAGGGGGGTTGTTAAAGGGAATTGTTGGCCTGGCTGAATAGGCGAGATGTTGGGGTTGCGATGATAGCGGGAAGGGATCAACTCAATTGCTGCATTGTAGGTTTTTGTAAGCTTAAATCTGAGTCCACCCCCTCTGTTTATCGATAAAATTTATCTATTTAGGTAGGGGAACAATGACTTAAACCCCAGAGAAGAGTACCGTTCTTAATCTCTCTACGTCCTTCTCGTTTTCATGGTTAGAAATGTCTTTCTTGTGGCCAAGAAAAATAAAAAATTGCTTTAGCATTCTTTTAAGAAGTATGCAGCAATATGTGGGGGAGGGACGTATCTGTGTTATTCTGTGTTGTGAGAATCTAACTCACTCTCTCTTTACAATCTCTTTAAAAATGACTTTTAAGCACAGGGCTGATCATTTTGCGCAACAACTTTTTATATTTTGATATCAGCAGCAGGCCAATGCTTAACATGGAATTAAAGTTGGGATCTGGATAATTTGGTGCTCCTTTCTTTCTTTGTAGCGCCAGTCACTTATACATCACATATGCGTGGCCAATCTTATAAGAGCAGATGGCCCTGTGGGTGCAGCGGGGTTACAGCTGGGGTTTGTGTGTGCCGCACATAATCAGAGCGCTGCGCCGAGCATAAACACATCACAGAATCGAAGTCACCACAGGGCCTCCAATATGACGTTAGTGCCCATTGGTTTTCTGAAGACACTGCCAGCTCCACTGCATGCTACTAGCACAGTTGGGGCGAGGTAAACCAAGGCTGTTGAGGGCTACATAAACTCTATGACTTGCCAGTCCTCTTCAACCTTTGATATTTTGACGTAAAAACTATTGAGAGCTTTCTGAGTGCATCTTTACCGTCACCAAGAAGTGCTTTCATGGCAGCTAAGCAGTGCATCAAAGTGGGACATGGACTAGAGAGGAAACCATATAGTTTAGGGGGTCCCGTCTTCAATTAATGATGTCCAACCAGTTACGAAAGAGGGTGAGTTGGACGTCACCACAAATTACCATGGTGGTTTGCCTTCTGATACAAACAGCTACTCATTAATAAATGGATACACCACCCAGTTGTTGGTAAATATGCCGTGATGTAAAAATAGCCCAGATGAACCACGGATGCTCCACCCAAACCTCAATCGTGGTCCACGAGGGCCCTGCATCATCTCTACTCTTACCATCCACCGACATAAACACTCGTTCCACTGGGTGTGTCATGGCATGCTTGCCATCCCTGTAGCCACTATAATCGCAGCTGAGCTCGATTAGCAGCTCCAGATGATCTGGGGAAGTCGCGTGATCCACTTTTATCTCTCATCCACTTTCATGCGCACACATGCACCTTTCTCTTGCATTTTCCTCACATCAAAAGGTGTTTAGATCTCAGTGTCTTAGCTTTACACGACTAAAGGCCAGCTCCTCTGATCATATTTAACAGATCTTGGCCAAAGAAGAAAGAAAAACAGGACAAAAAATCACAGGAAAAGAGGCTTCTGTGCAGCCAGCGATTGCTAGCTTTTTGTTTTGCATGACCAGGAATTCATCTCAGGGGTTTTCATGGGAAACGTTCCCATAGGCAGAGGTAGACTTAAAGCCTTGTTCTGCAAACCGTTTTTCCCACAGATGCAGCAATCCTGACTCTGTACACTTTGTCTCATATGGACACAACAAAATGGAGCAATGACTTGTTTGTCTTATGATTGCTAAAAGAAAAAAAGCGAAAGGTAGAGGAATGGCAAAATGTTTCTCCAAAGAAAAAGTCTAGTTTCTCTCACAAACAAAAGTAACATAGATTTTAAAATAAATGCATTTGGGATAATGCATTCGATATCAAGATCAGATAAATAGAAAAAAGAAAGGAGAAAATCTGGAACTGTGAACAGAAAACAAGGATATGTTCTAAGTTGTAATCCCACAGATGTTGACAGCTGTGAAGCAGAAGGTAGATGATTGCTGTGGCAGCAAAAACAGCGCAAAAAGATTGTATTTTTGTATGTGAGTGGATGTAAGTCTATGGAGAACAGGGCAGGGAGATAGAAAGAAAACAGAAAGCCCCAAGAATGCAGGAGGTGGAAGCACCAGCCGGCAAGAGGGTTTTAATTGGCTGCCTGGAGACAATCGCTTCAGGCTGAGGAATTAGTATGCATGAGATCTACAGACACATAGAGAGACAGAGAATAAAAGGGGGAATCACAGTAACATCTTAAAGAGTTTGGGGAATAATCCTCCTCTCTTTGACTTTGGTTACCCTCTTTATAAGACCCAGACAAAAATATGCTTTTGGCACTGCAGATGATCTTGGTCATCAACCCTTTGAACATAAATCAAGTCCTTTTTTCATATTGCATCCCAGCAGGGTTTGAATCAAAAAAGTTAACAATATTTTCTTGTGCCCTTTGTTTCTCAGAGTACCCCTGCTCTGGCATGCTAGGCATGGTGTCAGGCCTGATCACGGACAACCAGATCACGGCGTCCTCTCATACGGACCGGAGCTGGGTGCCTGAGAACGCCCGCCTTCTCAACAGCAGGACAGGGTGGACCCTGCTGCCTCAGCCACAGCCTTTCACAAACGAATGGCTGCAGGTGGATCTTGGTGAAGAGAAGCTGGTGAAGGGGTTAATCATACAGGGAGGCAAATACCGGGAAAACAAGGTCTTCATGAAGAAGTTCCGTCTTGCACACAGCAATAATGGCTCTGACTGGAGGATGGTGCATGACACCAGTGGAAACAAGCCAAAGGTATGTTGGGGGAATCCATGAGTAAATTTGGCATTTGTTTAGCAATGGAAATGAGGTACCACTTCAACAAATGAAGTGGTACTTCACTTTATCTGGGAGTTTATCTGGGGTTGGGGGAGTGCTGGCCTAATGGTTGGGGCATTGAGGTTCTTAGTTCAAGTCCCGCTCCAACTGACTGCCACTCTGGGTCCCTGAGCAAAACCCTTAACCCCCACACTGCTTCCCCGGTGCCACACAATGGCAGCTCACTGTTTAGGGGAGTGGAGGCCTAGTGGTTAGGGCATTGCACTTGGAATTTGGAGGTTCTGAGTTGAAGCCCCACTCCCACAATTTACCACTCTGGGTCCATGAGCAAGACCCTTAACCCCCAAACTGCTTCCCGGGTGCCACACAATGGCAGCCCACTGTTTAGGGGAGTGGAGGCCTAGTGGTTAGGGCATTGCACTTGGAATTTGGAGGTTCTGAGTTGAAGCCCCACTCCCATATTCTACCACTCTGGGTCCCTGAGCAAGATCCTTAACCCCCACACTGCTCCCCGGGCACCGCAATAGGGCATCCCACCGCTCCCCAAGGATATAGGTTAAATGCATGGAATTAATTTTGTTGTTCTGTACTTGTGACAGTGTAATGACAATTTAAAAAATGAAGAGGTGGTTAAAGGTTTCACCCATAGACCCAATATTTTTCAGCCTGAACGAGGAAATCTGCCAACACCTTCGACTGAAAATTAAACATGCTAGATATGTGCATCAAGCACATGAGTTTAGCCTCTTTATTGTCTTGTTTAGGAATGATGATAGATGAAGTGGATTGACACCTCATCTGCAGTTGTTGGTGTAGCTCCAGTCTGTCATCTCAAAGAAAGTTTGGCCACTGAGTATTAATCCAAAACAGTCCCAATACTATTGTTTGTCTAACATGAGACAATGTGGGATAACATGACAAAAGTAAAAATGAGACAAAAGTGGGGTTCTGGTAGAAAATGAGTTTAAAACTGCATCCCACTTTGGGTGCTTAGTCTAACCCTTACAGATAATTAGCCAACCTTTAAATGGTTTTCCAAGCATGTCCCACTTGAAATAGAAGGTAGAGGGTAGAGACTATTATGATATTGACCTGGAAATACAAACAGGAACCCCCAAATTTGAGCTGAGCAGTGTCATTCTTAACTGGACCTGTTACTGTTACAGCCTGATCTTAGTTAAAGACAAGCTAAAGGGTGGATGGAGGTAACTGCCAGGGGGATTAGCAACAAAAACACTTAATTTTTTATTGTTCGATTGTTACACAAAATCTATCAAAGCTAACCCAGTTTAAAAAATAAATAATCTCAAAGAAACAAACTGTCTGCGATAATGAAATGAACCCTACAAAAAAGCTGTTTTTCAAGTACATACCTCTGTCAAGGGAACACATTGAATTGAATAGTTTCATTTCTGACCCAATTGCTTAATTGATTCTCATTCATTTGTTCAGTTCCGCTCAGAACATTGTACCTGTAAGTTTTACGTAGTTAAAAGTTAATTTTCACTGTTATACATCGCTATAGTTCTGACTTTCTACTTAGTAGTATATGTAAGAAACTTTTCAGGTTTACAATCTTCAGATTCTTTGGTGGGGCAGTATAATGGAATGGCAAGAAATGGAAAAAAATCCTTCCCTGCTTTGAGAGTGACCAAAGATTTATCTACCTGCTGTGTAGCATTCAATGTATCCCTACAGCAAAGTGTCTGCACACAAACTCACACATACAAAACAAATTTCATGCTCTCATACAAAGCTACATTCTTTTCCAAGAGGAGCTACAGCACCCCGTCCCCAATTACAATTGTCCCTGACAGGGCATAAATCTCATCCAGATGGGCTGATGGTTGATTTATGAAGCGAGCAGGGGAGATCCATACCCCTGCCTGGCCTAGTTAGCTTTCTTTCTCCCAACGCATGAGAGGAGGTACCCAAGCATCTGAAGCTCAGCAGACTCTCTCACGTTATCAGACAAATTAATCCACTTCTATAAGCCCTCTGTCTTCCTCTTGCTTCATATCATACATCTCCTGCTCACCTCTCATTTGCTTGCTAAAGATCTTATTGAACTTTTAGTTCAATGAGCTGAAAGTTGTTTTTAACCCTTGGTGTCTCCCACGTATGCTGCGGTTCTGATATCAGTAAGACTAAAGAGATCTGCTGATCTCTCCTGTTACTTTCCACCTAACACAGCAGTTACCTCCCACACATTTTACATTGAATGCTCAGAAAGCCAAAATTAGAATCCCTAACAGTGTTCCCAAGTCTGTAAGCAGAATGTAATATGTTGTGCTGACTTTTTTTTTTTTTTCTCTACCAGATATTTGAAGGTAACAGCAATTACGACACTCCTGAGCTGAGGACAGTGGAGCCCCTGCTGACCCGTTTCATCAGAATTTATCCAGAGAGGGCCACTCCTGCTGGGATGGGCCTGCGACTTGAACTCATTGGCTGTGAGATTGAAGGTAAACAGAAACAACCCACAAAAGCCCCCTATAAGAATTGTGTTCTGCCATGTGTAGATGGTAAAGATGAAAATACAGGACACTACTTCCCTGTCTGACATCTGACTAAGCTTTATTCCTGTTTCATGTAAATAGTATTTCTGTTTCATCAATACCAGAATAATATTAGAGAAGATCAAAAAGTTAAACAGTTTTACTTTCCTCAAATTACGAAAGTTAATTCAAATTTACTGGGTCTTAAAATGAGTTGGAAGGCCCATCATGATGTCACTGGGATTGTACACATCTGCTATTGACTGCTGGTGAAGATTCTGTCATCCAGGTCATAATGATTCCAAAAAAAGTATAAAAAATAAAACGTTTTCCAAACTGTTTTCCAAGTTTGAAGACATTTCACTTCCATCCCAATGTTCTCACCTGGGAAGGTTTTGGAGAAATAGAAAATAAATTATCTAAAAAGCTAGCAGGAGGCATATAGACCGTAACAGATGAGGTTCATACTTATAACATCCGGTTGTCTGCAGTGGTCATCTGTTTAAGACATCATCTGCACACTGTCATCTGCAAGCTTTCAGCTATGTGCTACGTCCCAGAAAGCTGTTTGCTTTAGTGTAACTTGTGCATTTAATAGAGAATAGAATAGAATACAAAATCCTTTTATTGTCCCGTAATGGGGTAATTAAAAATAGGTTTTATTAAAGGGTAAATTAAACATCAAATGCTCTGTAAAGATGCTGGCAGAAGCCTGCAGAGAGCATCATTGTTCAGCTGTAGTATAAAAACTGTACCAACATGAACCCTCATAGAGAAAGAAGTCATGAATTCAAAAGCAAGATAAAACACACATTCTTATTTTCACAATCAACCAGGGAAAATGTAACTGGATCTTCCAAATGGACCACATCCTGATGCATTTTATCAACCAGTTACAAGTTGGCGTAAGGACAACAAACTGTTGTGTTTTGTTGTGGCAATCACAAAGCCATATTTTTGAGACGTCTGTTGGCAAGCAAGAAGGAAATGGCCAGAATTCCAGCAAATTATTGTGGTTGACCAAACTCAAACAATATGAAAAGCAGCTGTGCCAAATGCAAGGAAAGGAATATAAACATCTGAGTATAAGAAAGAAAAAACGATCCGTAAACTGACCTAAAAGTGGGAAGATTTTCAGTTGTTTCCCTTTTGCAGTTTATGTACATACCTGGTTTCAGTTTACGTCTGTAAATGCAAGCAACATTTAAGTGGCAAAGTAACACATTTTATCGTTGGTGTTGACATGGGCTGCCTCAAAAACACATTCGGCCACCATAAGTGCATTTTCTTCTCCCATGGCTGAGGTGAAAACTGTAATCAGGGTTCCCGCGGGTCCTTAAAAAGTCTTAAAAGGCATTGAATTCTTCAAAATAAAACTAAGGCCTTAATTGGTATTAAAATGTCCTAAATCAGTCTTTCCTGGGTCTTAATTTTTAAAACATCATAAATGGGATCATTTTTATTACGATTTATTTTTGTAATCTAAATAATCTACGGAAGAGGATTAGGGCCACTGAAAAAAAAAAAAGTTCACTGATTTTTAAATTTATTTCAGTTTAACATGGGAAAAAAGTCTTTAATTTCAGATTTCTGACTTTAATCTCAGAATTCTGACTTTTTTATTGTCAAAATTCAGTCAGAATTCTGAGATTAAAGTCAGAATTCTGACTTTTTTCTCAGAATTCTGACTTTTTTCCCATACTAAACTGAAATAGAATAAAAAAAATCAGTTAACTTTTTTTTTTTTTTTCACTGGCCCTAATCCTCTTCCGTACTAAATAAAACATTAAAATTGACTTTTTTTTTTTTTTTTTTTTATTTATTTTTTTTATTGGTCCCGATAGCGGAACCAATAAAAGGGTTGTTGCAGCCGGGAAATTTGGGAGATGCGCCATTAACATTTTGTCTGGAAAATATGAGCAAGTGTAAATGTAACCAAAATTGTCTCCAGCCAAGAGTTTTCTCCATGGCTTTTGTGCAAGAAGTCATTCAAGCTCAGAACGAATGGAATTAAGGCAGTGGAGTTGCACATGCGAAGCGCGAAACACAAAGCGCCAAAATTGAGTTACCGATAAACAGTCTGTATTTCTCAGTTTAGTTCCACCCTTGTCTCTGCAACGCCTCCACTTATCACCAAATCAAACATACTAAGAAAACCATACAAAGAAAAATAGCTGCAAAAAAGACTTAGCACTGGTTATGTTGTGGCTTTAAAACTGATTTGTTTTGTTCCCTGCTAAAACAAAGTTTGTGAATTCAGTTAAATAACTGTTAAAATATATCTGTCATTTGTGTTTTTTTTAGCTTTCTTCCTGTATGGGAAGCTTTTCAAAATTTGAAACATTAGTGCAGTGGTTGTCGCAGAAGTTGTCGCAAGCAGGTTTTTCTTGTGTTTCTTGTGAATTTGGTCTTAAATTTTTATTTCAAGTGGCATTAAAGAGTCTTAAAAAAGTCTTGAATTTAACTTGCCTTATGCTGTAGTAACCCTGGTAATTATTTTCTATCTAAAAAGGTGGCATCAGTACAGTAGGCAGATAGAGATAAGAGTTTGCCAATCTCTGACCATATCTCTTCACATGTGATATGTCAGACTCAATGAGGTGAGCAATCTATCACCCATAATAATGACATGACTACACACAGCTTCATGTCTTTACAACTTCCCTGCTTATTTAATGATGTGCATGAAGGCTCCCTGTGTTCAACACACAGCTGTCCAACTCATAATACTACTCATACAACAAGGGATGGTTTGTCTTGCCTCCCTGTTACATCAAAGCTGCCCTCATGGCTAACCACTTCTGGAGGGGATCAAATAAAAGCCCACCTGGCTGTCTCGGTTTGTTGCCACCCGGCCCCCATCACCATCTCTACAACCTGTCTTTGGTCCTTCAAAGGATCCAATGGACTTTGGTATATTTGAAATGACCCATGTTGTTTCCATCTATCTCAATAGTCTCTCTCAGAGCAGATGTGAGTTTTATATGAAACCACTGAACTGTCCGTTTTTTATTTCCATTGTTGCTAAAGAAGTCAGTCTTTATTGGTTATCCAGACTTTTTGAAGCCATTTCAAAGTTTTTCTATAAACAAAATAAATTTCAATTCCTTTTTTATATATTTATGAGAAATATTATGTTGTCACAGCTTGAGGAAAGAGAAAATTCTAGATTTAATCTTAAACACACAATATTTAGTATGCAATCTTTAACCTATCTTCCCTAAATGTGGAAATAAACGTAACCATAAAAGTACTGAATATACTATTGTTACCAACAAGAGTCTCAAAGAGTAAATGAGCTGAAATTTCTTCACAATAAGCCCTCGTCTTGGCTTTGTTTGATTGCCATGTTTCACGGTGACTGAAGAAAGTATGTTATTTTACTTTTACTTAATTTGGTAAACGAAGAAAGTACTGATAGCTAAAGGCAAAAGTGAATTATTGCTATTGTACCATAACTCTGCTCATCCAATTGTGCTATTTGCGAAAACAGTGATGTTCCTGAGTGGTGGGGTGACGCATTTTTTAATATAACTGACTTAAGCGTGTTTGACCATCAATCACAGACCCGATTCAGTGGCGCATCAGATGTTTGTAAAGTGAGCTTCTCATGAGTGACAGCGATGACAGCCAATCACACAAGAAAAGACGGTGGGCCAATCTGGAGCTTGTGGGCGGTCTAAATGCAGGGAAGCGGGCTTCAGCTTGAGGCCTGGTTTTCCGCTTGGTCCTAGTGCTCAACGATAGTCTGTGTATTGTAGTTTAACATTGTCTTTGAACAGTAAAAAGTTAAAGGGAACAAAACAGATGTTTGAAAAAGTGCAGGGGACATGCCCCCTCCAAAATTACATCCATGTTTCTGACGCCATCTAGCCCCTAATTTGTCAACAGTTGTAGTACTGTTCTTACCTCATTTGGTCACTCATGGGCCAAAGAGCACTATCACCTAAACACCTTCAAGTTACGGCTTGAGCGATTCTGAGAAAGCAGCTAGTGTGTCTGGATCCCAATACATACCCCACAAAAGCTGGTATCAGAAGATGAAAAATATCTGATAGATTTTACTTTTATTTTTTATAGAACTGACCTGGAACTGGAGTTAAGGGATGCATTATTGTTCCGTTGATCATAGCTCCCAGATTTCCAGTTTATTGAGCTCAGGAAGTCTTCATATTGCTGCTTAAATCCTTATCTTGTGCATTTCAATGAGATGTTTCATAAATTTCACTACAGACTGTTTGAGCAGCAAGTATTAGATAGCAACTAGTCAGGTAGTCCACATCACTAGATTATTTGCTCATAGTTTTACCACCCAACTTAAAAACAGTAAATACTGGCTTATTAACAAAAAAAAAGATATGAAGTTCAACACTTAAGTGCATTTGTTCAGAACAGAAGGAGATTTGCAATATAGTAGCAGGGTGCATGTTAGCTCTAAGTGGATTTTCATATTGGATTTCAGGGAAGCCCATTCTCTCATAAACTTGGAGGACTCCCACCGGAGGACTTCAGGCAGATGATAATGCTTGTTTTCGATGTTAATGCCAAAAACAGACACAATCATAGAGACGGATTCACTCACAGCAACCGCAAGCACCTTGCCAAGGTTGTGGTAAAAGGACTAGATATACAATTACATACACAGGTGCATATCTGGTTGTATTAGTGTGTTTAAAAGTGTGTACAGCAAACCGCAGCAGGAGGGCTAAATCCTCATTTCTGTAAGAGGCTTCCCTAACGCAGCGCTGACCCAATCCCTGACCTCTCCCACCCTGAATCTGACAAGGCCTGATCAGTCTCATATTTCATCTAGCAGAGGGCGAGAGCAGGAAACTTGACTCACACACAGACACAGCACACATTTTTCAGGAACTTTCCCCCCCATCTGTCTATGCCTCTACCCTTTTTTTCCTCCCCCTGCTCTGGGGAAGCCTGATCATTACTCAGTCGGTATAAAAACTTACAAATGCATGCTCACACCGCAGGACGGCTGTGTGGCAGCGGAACGTGGACTGGATCCTTGGCCTTGCCCACATCCAAGTGAGGCAGGGCCGTAATGATAGGCCATAATGGTAATGCCTATGTAGCCAGTTTCATGTCTTTCTTTTTTCTTTTCTTTTTTACATCTTGTCATTTCAACCACTCAAGATTCATTTGCAAAATTCAAGTCTGTATTTAAACATCCACATCGTACTAGCTTGATAAAAGGTTCAACTCTAGTAGCTAAAGCTGAGACTAAAGAAAAATAATTAAAGCCTGCATTAATAGCCAGTACTGTATACATTGTTTTATCAAGTTTCATTTTTTTTTTTTTTTTTTGCAGCAATGATTGAATAAGATCTGCAAACATCATACATTAGAATGATGCTGAGTTTTTTTAATTATTATTATTCAGGACTAATGTACTTGAGCAAATATGAATTTATAAATATGAATTATTTTCTTGACAGTGAATCCTAGATGGTTCAATACTGTTGATTAAAGAGTGCTGTTTAAAACATTTTGGATAGATGATCCAAAATGATCCAAAAGAAATTAGTCTAAATAATATAAGTGATCTTATATTACTAAGATTGGACGGGTTTATCACTGGAACAGGGGTTGTGAAAAGAACATGTTGCTAAATCAGTTGGGCAGTTTTATTTTTGTGCCTAAGTAAGATCTATTCAAAGGGAACTATTGGGAGTATGCTTAGAGTTTAGAATTAGAATCCAGCTGGAGTTATAGCCATTTAGATCAAAAAGGCCCATGTTATTAGTTGTTCTATGCTAAATGTGAGAGGCTACATGAAGCATGGTCTTCTTTTTAAACCCCTCTGACCTATGATCCAGATACGACTCACCAATGTCACCAACCTCCTCACCAATAAGAGTTTTGCTCGTAAATCTAAACAGTTATTTTTCTCTCTCAGCTCCGACGCTACTTCCAACCACTGCAGTCCCAAGCACCACCCCTTCGGACGAATGTGACGACGACCAGGCGAGCTGCCACAGCGGCACAGGTGATGACTACGACGTGACAGGTGCTAACATCGCCTTCATGAGACTGCGTCCAAACTCCCCCACCCTCCTGTTGCTCCCCCCCGCCCCTCTGCCTTGTTTTGTCATACTCATTCTGCTTCCCCCTCTATGTAATGCCACCAATTTTTCTTAGCGCAGGCAATCTGGCATCTCTCGTGCACGCTCGCAAGCATGCATGCATGCATCCACATGTGAGCTGGCACTGATACAGCTCTAATTAGCCGCACCTTTAGTTCCCACCTCCCTTGTTGGCCTTCTTATCTCCACCTCCTGGAAACTCACTGGGGAGAGCCGATCCACACACACCTGCCTCTGCAGCAGAGCATTACCTCTCTCTGTCATTACCTCTCTCGGATGCCTTGTCCTTTTGGCCTCTTTTCCCACTAACCCAGTAACTCAATGAGCCTTCACCACTGTAGATACTCCCCATTAACCAGCAGTCTCCAATGAGGAGCAGGGCACTGTCTCAGTCTTACGCAAAAATATGAGAAAATGTATATTGGAGATTATGAAAGGAAAGTGGCATGAGCTGTTTAGTTAATTCTACATGGCATGAATCTCTAAAAAGGAGCCAATGTGTGTAGAAGCCTAACAGTGCTATTTCACCATGCTTTCACAGGTGGTTCCATAATGCCTGAGACCACAACCTCAGAAGTGGACACCATTCCAAGTGAGTTTTTTAAAAGCAGAATTCCCCTACAATTCACAAACCGCTACTCTTGACCTGCTGAAGAGTCATTTCAAACACACGTCATAAAGAAGCACACCTTATGTAATGAATGCCAGTCCTCTCTCCTCTTCATATTTATCTGTCATTAAAGATAATGACATGGCCCGGAGAGGCTCCTGCTGACACAGTGAGAGAGGTTGCATGATCTGATGCTAGCGGATGATTAGCACTGGTGCTCTGCTGCTGCCTCCTCAGCATAATCACTAATCACCGGGCCAACACTGACGCACACAACAACGAGCCGGTGCTAAAAGCCGGAAAGCACAATGCAGATGACCAGAGGAAATTAGTTGGACTCTGGGGCCAAGCACACGTAGCGGTGTCTACTATAGCACGCTGATGAGGCAGGAGCCAGCTGAGTGAAGGTACCCCCTAGTCTGACCTTGGCTAATGGGCCGTAGGCTCCACCCCTTCCTATTTACTCAGTCAGCTGCCTTCATGGTCTGTCTGCAGTCTGCTGGGGTCTCAGCTATCCTAATGGATGAGAAATGATGTCTATTGTGTGTTTACCTTAAACTCAACCTTGTTTTATTTAAGTAAAGGTTTTTAAAGAATCAATCCACTAATGTGTACAGTTGTGTGTGCACAATTTTGTTAAAGGCTTTATACACCTCAAACTTTTCTCTGCTTTGTTAAGAGATTTTATGTCCACCTGTGTGTTTTTTGACATAGTATAAAAGTAGGTATTTGGGAACAAATATCATGAAGATCAAGAAACACCAACGGGTTAAGGATAAAGCTGTGGAGAAGTTTAAAGCAGGGTTCAGTTGTACTACAGTTGCTCAAGATTTTGAAATTTTTTGGAGCACTACTTGAAAAAGACAAGACCCTGCACCTAAATTGAAGGATTATGAAAATGTCAAAATCTCACTCTAGCAAAGAGAAACGGAGAGAAAACTGAATAACAGAAATCCTGTTTGCTGTTTGTCACAAGAAAGGCAAAAATATAGAGGAAGTCCCCTGGACCAGGCAAGATAACCAACATTTATTTTTATAACCTATCTGCAAAGCTCTATGTGTGAACTGTGAAGGATGTAACTATAGCATGATATATTCACCCTCTTGCTTTTCTTCATTCGCTAAGGGCAGGGAAGCCATTTTACCTAAGATTAGGAGAAGAGGCCCCAAATAAACTAGCCTCGTGAGACCATCCTGATCTCGCGAGCTTTCAAGCTTTCTTGCTAATCAGTCTGGAGACTCTCCGTTGAAGAAAATTTGGAGCCGTTCACCAAACGAACGTCCAATCAGCGTTGGCTTTGAGGCGGGTTGAGGTGTGAAGCAACGAGAAGCGCGACAGTTCAGTCTAAAGACCATGGCGGCTTCAGCCGATGAAACTAGTGTTAGCGTGGCTATCGAGCAAGTTTTATCGGAATTACACTGTATTTCTTCACTGAAAGAAGAGCAAAACACTGCTCTGGAGGCTTTTCTCAGAGGAAAAGATGTTTTTGCTCTTCTCCCGACTGGTTTCGGCAAGAGTTTGATCTATCAATTGGCTCCTCTTCGTCGTCGCTCTGTTACGTCATATGCTTCGTTGATCTGATTGGTTTATTTGTCCCGTCTATCACCAACATAGGCCAATCAGCTTACCAGTATTTTCACCTCTTCCCAAAATTACTTCTACGGAAGGTTTCCAGATGGATATGCGGAGCAAATCCATCTGGCGGAGTCAGGTTACAAATAAACACCTACAATGCAATTGTTTAGAGACATGGTTCTCCATCCGGGTCAACAAGTACCACTGAGCAGCATATTTCACATACCCCTGCTGCAGCACACCTGTTTCACATGATTGCATGAGCTCCTCAGCAGCCATCAAGTGCTGGAGATGTCCGTTAATGTCCGGAGACATCTAAAAATTGAACAACAGTGGTACTTGAGGACCAGAATTGAGAACCACTGGTTTAGAAAAAACATATTTATATACAAGGATGTTCTACTCTGACAAGAGCTACAACCAGTTTGTGTTACAAATTAATGTGCTTAAGGGTTCTCCATATATAGATTTTTATTTTATTTGAAAGCCATTTATCACTTTTCTTTTACTTTACAGTTATGTGCTATCCTCTATTGGTCAGTCCCTCAAAATGTAAATAAAATACAATGTCGTCTGTTGTCTGTAGTTGTCAGTATCATGACAATATTGAAGAAAAAACTCACAAGTCACTCTATTCTAGAGGAAAACTGTATTTTCTTGTTTGGTGTCATAAATGTAGCTTTTGTTTTAGAGTGCAGTTCTGTTTTACCAGAGGTAAACCAACCATATGCTCGTGTTTAAATGTCTGGGCATGTGTGGGTGTACGTCTACCATGCGCCCAAATCTCCAAGCCTCTAGTTTCCATTGGCATTGAGCAGGAAAAAGTCCCTTTTTTTTTAAAGGAAATGGCCAAATGAGTCATGTGGCTGCTCATCTTATCCAAGACGTGTTGGCTGCCCCAGTCAAAGCCTTCCAATAATGGAAGGAGGGGAAAGCAAACTCATTTTAATTGGGATTGGGGTTTATATGTGAAAGTAGCAGTCTGTAATGTGGTTCCATATGAGAATTCCATCCTTTGTGCTTAATGGGTAAATAGAGTCGTAGCCTGCAGAAGCTGGTTAAACCCTTCCCATTATTAAAGGGAATATTGGCTCATATATTTTGTCACTTGGAGGACAGCCTCATTATATATCTGAAGGAATCTCCTGATGAAGCGTAAAACCATGGCTAACTTCCCAAACATCCCTCTCCCTTGTGTTCTCTGTCTTTGTCTGTAAGCTCTCACACGTTTTTTAGCCTCTGTGGAGGCTGCTCCGGCACGCCGTGGGTCCATGGGGGATCGCATAGTTGGAACAGCTCCTCGGCACTGTTGCCATAGCTGTCTTGAAATCTCAAGTCCCTGCTCTCATTAAAATCCTCATCTCTCAGCGGGATGCTGTGAATGTCTCTTTCTAAGCTGTGTCCAGACCTTGTCGTCTCGATCCCCCTGTCATTGTTTGGTGTGTGTTCCCAGCATGCATCCCCGTCTGTTCCTCACTCAACCCTGTTACATTCATTAAGAGATATCATTATAAGCAGCCATGATAAAAGTGTGATTTCTACACAGGCATTTCTCTCTGGCTCATGTCACATTTTGTTTTCATCTTCTAACTTTGGTCTCACCAACAAGTGGGTCTTGTAGTTTTTATTCTGCAGTGCTTTGCTGCCCTCTAGTGTTTGTAGAGGGGAAAGGGATTCCTTGTAAGTTGCCTATGGTGAAAGTTTGACAACAGGCTACAAGCTCTTAAAGGAATAGTACACCCAAAACATGATTAGCCTTCATTTTCTACTCACCCCCATGCTGAACAACACTCTGGAGTACTTTTTTGATATCTCAAATGCATCTGGAGATCTGGGAGGCTTCTTGCTGTCTGCTGACATTCAAATAATGGAGGTCTATTGTGCCCGAGACAGAAAGGTCCATAAAAGTCCACAAAAACGTGTCAATATTCCTCCATACTGCTCGTCCAATGTATTCCAAGTGTCCTGAGTGGGTAGCATCCAGAATTTACTCGAAGCGAAGTCATTTAGAATGTTTTTAGAGCATAAACAGTAGTGTATAGGATTTCCTGAAAGCGTGCACATGCGCGATCCCGACGCTACGGAAGCCGGCAGACCAAACCAGCGCATTCAGCTCGGCAAAGAACTCATGCTCTTCCTCAACACTGAAGTCCTCCGACATTTTTCTTTCGTTGTTTCTTTCTTTGCACAGGTAAACAGCACATTTCTTCTTCTACGCTTGCATTATTGGCAGAGCAGACGCTGAATGCGCACTTTCATCTGGTTTGGTCTGCCGGCTTCCGTAGCGTCGTGAACGCGCATGTGCGCGCTTTCAGGAAATCCTATACACTACTGTTTATGCTCTAAAAACATTCTAAATTACTTCGTTTCAAGTAAATTCTGGATGCTACCCACTCAGGACACTTGGAATACATTGGACGAGCAGTATGGAGGAATATTGACACGTTTTTGTGGACTTTTATGGACCTTTCTGTCTCGGGCACAATAGACCTCCATTATTTGAATGTCAGCAGACAGCAAGAAGCCTCCCAGATCTCCAGATGCATTTGAGATATCAAAAAAGTACTCCAGAGTGTTGTTCAGCATGGGGGTGAGTAGAAAATGAAGGCTAATCATGTTTTGGGTGTACTATTCCTTTAAGTAATTTTCTGGAAGCAAGACAAATACATTGACATTTCTACTTCTTTAATAGCATGAGTTTGACATGTCTTCAATTTGTTTTCAGCGTTTCAGTGGTTTGCCTGCGACTTCGGTTGGCCCAATGATCCGTCCTTCTGCAGCTGGACACCAGAGGACACTGGTTCGAGATGGCAAATCCAGTCCAGTGGCACCCCAACTCTCAACACTGGTCCTAACATGGACCACACAGGTAAGTGCTTACACGGAAAAAAAAAAAAAAATTTAATTGCTTCTTTTTACCCCGAAGTGAACAAAGTCTAACTCTCCAACAGGAGGATCAGGGAATTTTATCTACACTTTAGCGACTGGTCTACAAGAGAACGAAGTTTCTCGACTGGTCAGTCCCCCGGTCAACTCTCAGGATGCTGACCTGTGCCTGTCTTTTTGGTACCATATGTATGGGCCGCACATTGGAACATTGCATATCAAACAGCGTAAGCAAACTGAAGGTGGATCGGCTGATATATTGCTTTGGACGATCAGTGGTCATCAAGGCAATCGCTGGAGGGAAGGACGTGTTCTCATGCCACGCACTAGCAAACCCTATCAAGTGAGTGTCCTTTGAATTGACTTCTTTCCCTCAAAGACTTGAAGATCAATTAGACATTAACTTTACTTTGTCTTGTTCTAAGGTGGTGATTGAGGGTCTTGTACAGAGGAAAAGTTGGGGAGACATTGCTGTAGATGACATTAAGGTTCTCGAAGGAGTTGGTCAGACAGACTGCGATGGTGAGTTCACTTGCATGAAATAGAAGTTTGCTGGTGTGAAAAGAGTTCCCTGAAGTAATGGATTAAAATACAATTTCTTGTTGTTGTAGATCCTGTTGTGCCGACTGAGCCAATTCTACCTGAGGATGAAATTGACAAAATTTGTAAGCCATTTCCCAATATTTACTTATACAGCACTTTGCAAATACTTTTCATATCTCTTGAACTTTATTTTTTCTTTACATAATAAGACAACTCTAATATTTATTTGAATTGGTTAAAATAAACCAAATAATTTACACTGCAAAAGCAATCAAGATATAAGTAAAAAAATTCTTAAATTATGTATTTTTACCCTTAATTTGAGCAGGTAAATAAGATGATCTGCCAATGGAATTAGTATTTTTACTCTTAAGATAGTTAGATAATATTAACTTGAAATAAGACGATAAAATTGTTTTTTTCTTATTTTAAAAGGAAATTGTCTTGTTCCATTGGCAAAGTGTGTTACTTACCTCCTCAATTCAAGGAAAAACGCACTTATTTTAAGAAAAAATAACTTATTGAGATTTCTGTTTTTTGCAGTGTAGCTGTGAAGTGGAAGGAAACAGATTTAGTTTTTAGTTGAATGCAGTATTGTATTGCATTCAACTGAACTGCTTTTGAAAGTAATTGCCTATCTGTATTGCCTCTTTGAACACAACTTCGTTTGATGTAAAGCTCGGAATACAAAAGCATGCTTTTCTTTCACTTTTTGTATTTATAAAATTTCAATTTAACTTTTTTCCATTCACTTGATAGTTTCTATTGCTTTTGGTCTCTCCTAATACATTAAAGGAATAGTACACCCAAAACATGATTAGCCTTCATTTTCTACTCACCCCCATGCTGAACAACACTCTGGAGTACTTTTTTGATATCTCAAATGCATCTGGAGATCTGGGAGGCTTCTTGCTGTCTGCTGACATTCAAATAATGGAGGTCTATGGTGCCCGAGGCAGAAAGGTCCATAAAAGTCCACAAAAAACGTGTCAATATTCCTCCGTACTGCTCGTCCAATGTATTCCAAGTGTCCTGAGTGGGTAGCGTCCATAATTTACTCGAAACGAAGTCGTTTAGAATGTTTTTAGAGCATAAACAGTAGTGTATAGGATTTCCTGAAAGCGCGCACCTGCGCGTTCATGACGCTACGGAAGCCGGCAGACCAAACCAGATGAAAGTGCGCATTCAGCGTCTGCTCTGCCAATAATGCAATCGTAGAAGAAGAAATGTGCTGTTTACCTGTGCAAAGAAAGAAGCAACGAAAGAAAAATCTCTGAGGACTTCAGTGTTGAGGAAGAGCATGAGTTCTTTGCCGAGCTGAATGCGCACTTTCGTCTGGTTTGGTCTGCCGCGGTTTCCGTTGCGTCGTGAACGCGCTTTCAGGAAATCCTATACACTACTGTTTATGCTCTAAAAACATTCTAAATTACTTCGTTTCGAGTAAATTATGGATGCTACCCACTCAGGACACTTGGAATACATTGGACGAGCAGTATGGAGGAATATTGAAACGTTTTCTGTGGACTTTTATAGACCTTTCTGCCTCGGGCGCCATAGACCTCCATTATTTGAATGTCAGCAGACAGCAAGAAGCCTCCCAGATCTCCAGATGCATTTGAGATATCAAAAAAGTACTCCAGAGTGTTGTTCAGCATGGGGGTGAGTAGAAAATGAAGGCTAATCATGTTTTGGGTGTACTGTTCCTTTAAGGTGTATCGTTAAAATGTTGCAAAATAAAGGACATGAGACATGAACAGCCTTTCCTAATTTTGTCATTTTCGTACCTTCTCAATCACTAACTGTGTTTCTGCTTTTCTGCTTCAGTTGAGGAAATCACAGACTTTCCAGACCTGGTGGAAACGAACCAGATCAGCGGCGCTGGCAACATGCTGAAAACTCTAAATCCCATCCTTATTACCATCATCGCCATGTCAGCCCTGGGGGTTTTCCTGGGTGCCATCTGTGGTGTGGTTTTATATTGCGCTTGCTCACACGGCGGCATGTCAGAGAGGAACTTATCCGCCCTGGAGAACTATAACTTTGAGTTAGTCGATGGTGTCAAGCTAAAGAAAGACAAACTCAATGTACAGAACTCATACTCAGAGGCGTGAGATGGGTCTGGCTGCTTTCATATGACTAACAAACGGGCAGAGCTCGCACAAAAAGACATAAACAACTCAAGGCATATCTTCTCATATGTCTGCCCCATAGGTGGGCTCAACAGGACTGCCAAACACCCTCTACTCATTAGATGAGGGTCAGGTTCAGGAAACCAGTGGGAGGTTTGGACTGATCCACGCTTTTTTCTCAGGAGCTGCAGTAAAAAAAGAACCTACCAGTAGGGGACACTGTGTACAAATAAAATTACAGGAAAAAAAAATATGTACAGATGTTTAAGATGATATTATAATTTTGTATTTTGATTTTCATTCATTTCTACAATCGGATGCTGGTGTTGAGACCAATTTATTAATGATGTTTAAAGTATTTATAATTTTCTGGGTAAAAAAAATGTTTTGTTTTGTAGAATCAGTTCATGAAGGCTGTTGTTTCTTTTCATGCTTTCAAAGAGACGTATTGAATCTTTAAAGAACCATATTCAACAAAACTGTTAATTTGCCCTATAGGGTGGCATGGCGAGTGCGACCCTAATCCTTTTCCATTTTATCACTCTAAAGTGAGGGTCCCGTTCATGTATGGTTCTGACAGTGCCTTTAGTACCTTTTGGTTAGCCTTTTCTGTTGAACTGAGTTCTTCTTTTAATTGCTGTATATTAGGATTAAGTTATAATTAAAGGAAACAGGGGCACATTACATTATAAAGTCCTATCAAACAGGACTAAAGTTTATTGCAGCGCTTTTTTGTTTTTTTTTTCTGTCCAAAAAAAGAACTTTGTAAATACGTTTTAATATATTTTATTGCCCTTTTTAAAGAAAGTAAAAAGAAAAAAAAAGCTGCAGTATCCCTTTTTTTCCCCCCCTTCATGAATGTGAGTGCGTGTGTGTAAATACAATCTTTTGACTGTTTTGTGCAAAACTGCGACGTCGATCTTAGATTCTGTTGCTCAGGCAAGGAAGATTGTTTTTTGGGATTTTTTTTATTTTGGTGCATTTGTTTCATCTTTCATTTCTAAAAACAAAAATACAGCAAAAGAAAGGATGTGTAAAACAGAAAAACACACACCCTCCATTAGTACTCCCTCATGATTTCACATCTGTTTTGTAAGTTTGGCAGAATTAAAGGGTAAATCTAAACATGTTTACGTCAAAAATATATAATGTTGACCAGCATACCAAAAGGAAAACTACAACCACCTTCTGTTTTATTCATTTTACCTCTAACATCACTGTGGATGTTCACTGTAGAAGTGCTTTCTGAACAATGCAGCTTGAATGCACTTTGTTTTCTGACTCCAGCTTCGATAGAAAACTGATAAAAGTGGAGTTTTACCAACTGAATGATGGTGCTATCAGTAGTTTAGTCAGACATTAATGTGTTTCATTATAAACCCAGTTTCCTACATGCTGATGTGTAGCTGAAAGGTCTCTTCTTAGACCTGCAAGAGTTTTATGTGTTTCACATGTAGCAGCCATAACGATGATGTCAGAGCTGATGTCAGAAGAACGGGACAGCGGTGCAGCAGGGGATCGAGTGGCATCACCTGAATCAGGTTATCTGGCCTCCCTCTGTGGCTTTACCAAAGGATTGTTGCCCTTCGCCACAAAAACACACACACACCTTTTGACTACAGGGGCTTCTCCAAAGAGAGAACAAGAACACAGTTCAACACCAAGCGGGCAACTTTCAGGCCTGCCCCTTCGAGAGAAGGTCAAGAGGGGGGAAACAACAGGACACTTGTGGGAAATTGCAAAATGTAACAGTGTGTTTTTCTTGCTCCTTTTAGACAAAAACACTGCAAATCTCACCTTGTGAACTTTTAAGGATCTCAGTCGAGACTGTTTGCAGACGGAGAGATGAGACAATCCCACCATCAAACAGGGAAAGGAGTTCTAAGTGGTGAGATTTACAAGGACAGAAGGGCCTGAGAAGCCCAATGAAACTCATTGCTTCGCCTCACCGCAATCGATCCAATCACGAACTTGTTTTATTTCTACGAAGGGGTGACGTCTTTTAAATCTGTGTGCTTTGTATGTCGTGCCGTGGTGTACACACACTCTCAGCTTGTTCATTTCAGATTGGACGACCCGCTCTCCTCAGCCTTCACTTTCAGAGGACAGTAGCTGCAGCAAGCTAGACGAAAAGGATACTGTAGCGTGGACTCGAAAACAAACGATGTTGCACTGAGAAATATATTTAAGAGGTTTATGTGTTTATAGTGTTCATTTGCAGAAAAAAAGAAAGGTTAAAACAGAAAAAAAACTTGTGCTCATTTTTTTTTTTTATGCATAATTTCAGATTATCTGAAATGGATCCAAAATGTACAAATATTGAGAAGAATTCAATATAAAAAAGATAAAGTTTTTTTTTTTTCAAACGGAATATCCCTCTCTTTAAAATGTACATGCCATGTTAGCGCTTCATTTTGTACTGTCATTCAGATTTTGTGCAGGTTTTTTTTTTCTTTTTTACAAGAATAAGAAAAAACTAGACTTTTATTTTCAATACCGCTTCTGTGATTTGCTGTTGTAGAGAAAAAAGTAATAAACAGCAAAGGCCTTAAAAAGCATTGGGTATGACTGTGTCGTTATGAATGGAAAACATGTTTCTGCTGTTTATTCAGCAGAAGGGGATCGGAAATTTATGCCAGGGCAACGAGGGGTTAACTAGCTACCTATTCAAAGCACAGTGGGTCTATGCCCTGTCTCATAGTCGTCTGCTGATAAAAACAGCAAAACTTTGACTAAGTGGAATTTTTTTGGAAAGCAAAGAGTTATATCTTTCACTAAGAACGTTTTTTGTGGACTTTTATGGACCTTTCTGTCTCGGGCACCACAGACTTCCATTATTTGAATGTCAGCAGACAGCAAGAAGCCTCCCAGATCTCCAGATGCATTTGAGATATCAAAAAAGCACTCCAGAGTGTTGTTCTGCATGGGGGTGAGTAGAAAATGAAGGCTAATCATGTTTTGGGTGTTCTATTCCTTTAAGTTACCTAAACTGAACTTCAAAAACACACCACAGAGTTTATGTTCTGCTGTTTAAAGTTCCATCAAAGTCAACTTCCGGCATATATGAGGAAAATAAAACCCTGCTATTTTGCAAGTTCTCCCACTTAGAGATCATGGAGGGGTCTGAAATTGTCATTGTAAGTGCATGTCCACTGTGAGAGACATAACCTAAAAAAAATCCAGAAATCACAATATATATATTTTTTAACCATTTATTTGTATGCAGCTGCAAATAAGTGTTTGAACACCTGTCTATCAGCTAGAATTCTGACCCTCAAAGACCTGTTAGTCTGCCTTCAAAATATCCACCTCCACTCCATTTATAATCCTAAATTAGATGCACCTGTGTGAGATCATTAGCTGCATAAACACACCTGTCCACCCCATTCAATCAGTAAGAATCCAACTACTAGGGCAACAGTGACGTTGGATGTAGGAGTTTGCCCTGAAATCGAAGGATTGACGGTTCAAGCCGACTTTCAGTGTCGTTGTGTCCTTGGGCAAGACACTTCACCTGCATTGTCTACTGATGGTGGTCAGAGGTTCTGTCAGTGAGCCTCAGGGCAGCTGTGGCCACAATGTAGCTTGCCACCATCAGTGCGTGAATGGGTGAATGAATGTAGTATAAAGAGCTTTGGTCAAGTCTCCTGACTTGAGTAAAGGCCCTATATAAGTACATGCCATTAACCATTTACCATTTATTAACATTGCCAAGACCAAAGAGCTGTCCAAAGACACTAGAGACAAAATTGTGCACCCCCACAAGGCTGGAAAGGGCTACTTTTTCACCCAGCTACCAAGCAGCTTGGTGAAAAAGTGTCCACTGTTGGAGTAATCATTCGAAACCCAATGGAGAAAGCGCTGTGTTTCTCAGCGACATCCAAGAAACCTGACTGATCTAGATCTAGAGTGGGCCAAAATCCCTCCTACAGTGTTTGCAAACCTGGCGAAAAACCACAGGTAAAAGAATAGAATTCAACTTTATTGTCATTATATTGTCACAAGTACAAAACAAAGAAATTCACTCTCTGCATTTAACCATCCCCTTGGGGGGCAGTGGGCTGCCATTGTGAAGTGCCTGGGGGTTAACGGTCTTGCTCAGGGACCCAGAGTGGCAGTCTGTGGGAGTGGGGCTTGAACTCAGAACCTCTGGGATCCAACCGCAATGCCCTAACCATTAGGCCACCACTACCCTAATTGAATAGGGGCACATATCCATTAGACGTGAGTAGTAAGGATATGCCCAAGTTAGGATATCCTTATAAACTCACGCCTAATGGATATAAACCCCAGAAGACTGTTTCTCCAAGGAAAGATTTGACCTCTGTAATTGCAAACAAATGCAAAATAAAATAGTTTAAAAAAATCATGTATTGTGATTTCTGGATTTTTTTTTTTAGATTATGTCTCACAGTGGACATGCACCTAAAATGACAATTTCAGAACCCACCATGATTTCTGTGTGAGAGTAATTGCAAAATAGCAGGGTGTTCAAATACCTATTTTCCTCACTGTTTATATAAATATGTTAAATATGTTCTTTGGAGCAACAGAGAATTTGTTTGTTACATCATGTCCTAACATCACCTTTTTTGGTCAGAGAAAATAAGAAAGATGTTGTTTTATTTCTGTGCACGCACAGCAGTCAAGGCTAGGGTCAAACATATTTCCAGAACAGGGAGGGGCTGCTGGTGCTCAGAGCAGAATGAGCAGAGTTTAGAGGAAAAAACTCCCGTTTATCATGCTAACTGTAGTCTTTACAGTAGGAGAAAGAGCTCTTGTTTATTTAGGTTTTGTCAGAGTATTTAACAATTAAATCTTGGGGTATCGCTGATGGGATGTCCACTCTTGAACTGAAAATTACCATGAAACCTTTTCACAGCTAAATATTTATGCATGATTTTCAAGTGCACCCAGTCCTCATTGCCCAATAAGGAAACAAAATTCTCTGTAATGAAAGGGTAAATATGACTCAGGGTTAACGCGATCAGCAACACCAGTCCTCTCCTGATTCACAACAGAGGCAGAGCACAACAAAGGTGTAGTACTAGAAGCCCTCGTTCATAATACTTGCTTAACAGTCCTTTTTCCAAAGCCCACATTTATCTCTATAATTCTTAATTCTTAAATAAGTCAGATTCAGTGTAGGACAAACCCCTTCTAACCTCAGATTCTGAAATTCTGAGATCAAAAATGAACTGCTGATCAGTTTATTTATGAGACCAAACACCAACTGGCAATTATGAAAATCTTAAAGAGAAAACTACGTGAATGGTAGCCATCTACAGCATGTCCCAGTATATCACGGATAAGCCCCCAATTTTTGACAACAGGCTCTGTGCCACAACAAAGAATGGGAGACATCACCACAGGCGAGGCCAAGCAACAGTGAGAGTCACATATCCTTTAACGTAGAGTGAGGAGAGCCAAGCTGGTAGGCAAGAGCACAGCTGACTGATAAGAGCTGGAAAGATGGCACCTGTTATCTCAAGTGCCAAGTCAACTGGACAGAGGAGGGGCAAACAGGGCAGGAGTACAAGCAAACTAATCTGAACCTAAGATGTAGGGCCATGGTAGTATCAATACACTTCTGTAAGCTCCATACATTCCTAAACACTTGTCCTTTTCTGAGAAGGTGATATAATTCCTCTTTATATCATTGAGAAAAAGCATGGATGCATTTGACTTTGCTATAATTTGCTTCTGTTTTTGTTTGGTAAATGACAAATGTGGACTATTACCTGTTGGATTTTTATGTCCAAATATGTAAAATCCTAGGATTAAAACAGGATGTGCTTCGTCTTTTCTATAACTAAAAGCCAGTCTGGTCCAGCACTAAGCAAGAAAAGGTGAAGATTTGTGCTCCAATGTAGGAACGGATGGAAACAACTTGAGTAACATCTTTGAGTTTCCACATGACAGAGGCAAAAAAGACCAAAGAGTGCACTGACCACTAATCATAAGTGGATGAGCTCTGTACCCTGCCCAGCAGCTGGCTCTCTATGGCTTATCTGTCATTAGAATATATTAACTAAATATATACTTTGACTACATCTTTTGGTTATATTTTGGCAGCACATAAAGAAGATAAAAATCACAGCAAGATATGTCAGGGTAGGGTGGAGGTTGGTTGAGGACCCAAATGCAGAGATGAGTTTTGCTGATTTAATGAAGAAACAAATAGTGATGTTAGGCTGGAATCAGTAAGTTTGAAATAGCTTCGATCTTTTTGAGGCAGAGGTTTTGCTGGGAAGTCTTTCAATCTTACCCGCTTCACGAGACGAGCGTTCATTATGTCACAACTCATTTAGAGCTATGCAGGAAAATAGAATAATCCGGGCATTTCCACACTACATGTCAAGTATTTAAATAGCATCAGAATCAAGGCTCGAACCGTGGGTTTTGAGAGGAGGAGAAAGTTTTGCTAGTGACATTATTATTGACATTAATACAGGTGCTGGTCATAAAATTAGAATATCATGAAAAAGTAGATTGATTTCAGTAATTCCATTTAAAAAGTGAAACTTGTATATTATATTCATACATTACATACAAACTCATATATTTCAGATGTTTATTTTGTTTAATTTTGATGATTACAAATGACAACAAATGAAAATCTCAAATTCATCATATCAGAAAATTAGAATATTGTGAAAAGGTTCAAAATTGATGGCCCCTGGTGCCACACTCTAATCAGCTAATTAACTCAAACCACCTGCAAAAGCCTTTAAATGGTCTTTCAGTCTAGTTCTATAGGCTACACAATCATGGGGAAGACTGCTGACTTGACAGTTGTCCAAAAGACGACCATCGACACCTTGCACAAGGAGGGCAAGACACAAAAGGTCATCGCTAAAGAGGCTGGCTGTTCACAGAGCTCAGTGTCCAAGCACATTAATAGAGAGGCGAAGGGAAGGAAAAGATGTGGTCGAAAAAAGTGTACAAGCAAGAGAGATAACCGCACCCTGGAGAGGATTGTGAAACAAAACCCCTTCAAAAATGTGGGGGAGATTCACAAAGAGTGGACTGCAGCTGGAGTGAGTGCTTCAAGAACCACCACACACAGACGTATGAAAGACATGGGTTTCTGCTGTCGCATTCCTTGTGTCAAGCCACTCTTGAACCACAGACAGCGTCAGAAGCGTCTTGCCTGGGCTAAAGAGAAACAGGACTGGACTGCTGGTGAGTGGTCCAAAGTCATGTTCTCTGATGAAAGTAAATTTTGCATTTCCTTTGGAAATCAAGGTCCCAGAGTCTGGAGGAAAAGAAGAGAGGCACTTCATCCACGTTGCTTGAAGTCCAGTGTAAAGTTTCCACAGTCAGTGATGGTTTGGGGTGCCATGTCATCTGCTGGTGTTGGTCCATTGTGTTTTCTGAGGTCCAGGGTCAACGCAGCCACATACCAGGAAGTTTTAGAGCACTTCATGCTTCCTGCAGCTGACCAACTTTTTGGAGATGCAGATTTCATTTTCCAACAGGACTTGGCACCTGCACACAGTGCCAAAGCTACCAGTACCTGCTTGAAGGACCATGGTATCCCTGTTCTTAATTGGCC